AGGGAACTTTGAGGGACAACTTGAAGAAATCAAGTTGAATGTATTAGAAGAAACCAAAACCCACACAAATCTAATTAAGTCATATTTCTTATTCTGACCAGAATCTACAAGGATGAGACTACACATCACTACATTTTATCCTCATTACTCTGTTCTGTCTGACTGAAGAGTATAAACTTCCTGTTGTAACTGAAAATCAAGCAGCAGTCTGTCAGCATCTGGGATTAATTTCAAATTTAATATTATGACTGACTGACCCCTCACATTCAGACATTCCTATCAATTATTTTTTGTTGTGCCCGTGTCAAACATTGAAATCACCAGATTCAGTGTGGGTGTATTTTCAAAACAGTGAAACTATATTTCAGCCCCACACTCCGTAACAGCAATTCTTTAAATCTTATAAATCTAGGTACAGTTCTGAGTACTGAATAAATTCCAAAATAAGGAAGGAAAGAAAAGACAAGAAACATTCCTGAAGGTACTACTTTATAAACCACACATAAAAACTGGAACTTATACCTAAGCCTCTTTAAGATGGTTTATGAACTACACAAAAGCACAAGGAAAAGTTTCTGTTAAAATAGGCAAAAAAGGAAAGGAAGAGGTTAAATCACTAAAAGAGAAAGACAGCTGCTGCTTTGAAGTATCACGGAAGGTTCAGGAAATCACACACACACTTTCAGTGAGTAGTTGCAAATAAAAAAGTACCTGAAATAATCAAAGGCAGTTGAATAAATCTTTTCTCTCAAAACATTTCGAATAGTTGCATTTGGAACCACATCAGCATGCAGCAAAGACAACCCCAAAGTCAGCAACCTAATAAACAAAATAGTCAGAGAATGAAAATTTTGGCATTCCCAAAATGGTGACCAATGCAACACCATACAAACCACAACTACAGCTGTAACTCCATTCAACTGACTGAAAAGTGTCTGTTTCAGAGCTCTTGGCAAACTATTTTCATCATCATCAGTCTGTTCCTAAAGCTGTGACTACTGAACCACAGAAAGTTGAAGCCTTCAAGTCACAAAAAGTGAAAACAATTGATGGAGCAAAATTATCCCCAACTGATACATTGACTGGATCCATGATGCGGGTAATTTACTATATGAAATTATCCCATGAAGTTTTCTGAAGCACTGAAAAATGACTTTCAAGCTAAAGGTAGCTACTTCTACTTTGAAAACAGAGCTTAGACTCTACATCATTCCAGGTTTTTAAAGGAATTTTCACCACTTGCAGCCAAGGACAAGTTATATATTTAGTGTTTAGGTTTTTTCTCCCACCCCTCTATAACCTTATTTCTTCCACCAAGGAAAAAAACCAAAACTACTCACTTAAATCGGGGTCCAATTGCTGCCACATGCCTATTCAAACTGCCTTTTGCCCCTCCAATGTTCAATGAAAGAGACCGCTGGAGCAGGCTGGAGAAGATCTCTATTTGGTCAGAACTGCAGTACTTGGCTATTTCAAATCTCTGCACCAAAAACTGAGAAAGACAGACAGACATGCCATGCTTCCTTTGACCTTTTTTCATCTCAAAAAAACCCCAGTCTTTTCTGTTTCAAACACCTTTCTCCCCCTCAATTATTATGCTCTTCTAAAAAGAGTGTCTCCTGACTTTGAGGCAGAGGGACTACCATCATGCCTCCACTCCCCTCCTGAATCATGAGAACAAATAGCGCAGCGTAGCTTAATCACAGCGTCACTGCAACACTGCCATATGTGGGACGTTCAGAAGAAATACACACCTCTATCCAGATGTAATGTGGAGTCACTTCTGGTGGACAAGGCCTTGGCTGGCTCTCTTCTGAGGCTGCTAACGGATCTGCTTCTTTCTGCTCAGCAGAAAACAGGCCAACCTTCTGCTCCACTGTCATTTGCCAGGCTCCTGCCATTTCCCGCATGAACTGAAAAAAGGAAGATAACAGTATTTCCTGTTTCAAGAGCATCTTCTTATATGGAAAGCACAATCTTTCTCTGTAGGGCACAAAAGAATCTAATACATCAATTAAAATTCACTGGAATATAAATGGAGAGGCAGAGACAGGTCTGTACACCCCACCTGAAACAAAATGTTTCTTTCACATCCTAAATTATGACGGGAAGAAAGACTCCCACCTGAGAAGTTCAGCTACTAATAGAAAGACTAAGGGCAACAGCAGCCAAGTGCTGTATTTTGCTGAGGAGACTGAACTGCTAGATAAGCTGGTGCCATCCGTCCTCCTGCTCTACTAAAGGTTACTGCCTCCAACACCAGGACAGCAGACACAAGCGTACACCAGGTTCTCACGTACAGCAGGACACAGTCTGGCTCATGAGCACACACAACAGATGAAGTGCAGAACATTAAGATGGCACTTTTGCTGAACCTGCTCAAGGGAGCAGCATCCTCTGGTAGAAAGGAGGCCCAGCAACCAAGGGTGCTTATCTGATCTCCTCAACAAGATACAAAGAAATTTCCCAGAAGCCTAAAGAGAAAAAACGAAACCGATGCTTAAGAAGTTAAACACTGAAATGTGCATGTAAATTGACCTAAGTAAATTTAGATTGATGATTACCTCCAGCAAGTGAAACACCTGGTGCTCACTAACTGGAGCAATTACCAGAGGCAGCTTTCTCAGCTATGTGTGGACTTTCACTACACCATGCTCAGTTGCTTTATTACTATTAGATTCATCCCCACTTCACAAAATACAGCTTGTCTAGCCTGTTACAGGGTTAGGACACTTGCAAGCCTATTCTTTGTGCAAGGGTGCAATGACAGATACCAGAGGCTCTGACTGATGAGCAGGGACATAAATTTCTACTTGTTTTAAAACACCATTCTATAAATTGTGGTAGTTCAGAACCTGATTCACAAGCAGCTCAGGCATCTCAGCAGCAAAGTAAATTGTACAGCTGAGATCCTAACAGACTTCCTTTGCTGTAACACTGTTGCTGAGAAAGATCCATTTCCCATAGTCCACTTTGTGAAGGTGCTCAGACTTCCAACAATACACGAGCAGAGATTTCCTGGCAGGCTTAAGTGATTAACAATGCATTTAACATCCTTACTTGACACAGATTCACAATAGCTGTGAATCTCTCAAAATTTTCTTCTTCTCCCCTTGCAGGGCCAGAGAAAGAGTTGTTAAATAGCTTCCTACCGGCACTTCTATTCCATTCTTGGCAGCAAGCAGCCACTCCCAGCAAGCAATTGCTGTTTCCATGCCATGTTCATTGAACATTCGCAGGGGTCCCCAACACAGATGATGAAGGAGCTGGGGATCACAGTCTGAAAACAAACATTCACTCAGATTTCTCCAACAGAATAACTAAATGCTTTTCACATCAGCATGAAATTGGTGTGCACAGCATGTAATAATCAATTCCTAATAGTTTCTAGTTTAAGAAGGCTTTTCTCCAATACAAGCCTAATTGAAAAAACTCAAAACACAGTTTTGCTTCAAGTTGATGCGTACTGGGTTTGTATATGGATAGTTTTTGTAGTTTATTACTCTTAGCAGTCACAGCCAGAAAGCAGAACTCCATTTGTTTTTCATTACCTTTGCTGCTTATTAGCAGTGCAGTCAACTTAAACATGGCCTGGGTGTAGAATTCAGTGTGGCCTGATTCAAGAGCATCATTCAGCTCTTTGACCATCAGTTTATTCAGGTCAGATGTTCGTCCTGTAGCATTTGAGAACTGAATCATTCCAGAAACCTGTAAAATATAATGGGTTTTTCAGCACAGAACAGTATTTTTAGGAATCTAGTTTGGTATTGGTCATGTGCTGATTAAGGAACTCCACGGAGACATCTTTTTTTACTACCTTGCTAAATCTTTAGCTTTTTCTGCAATCTAAGAACCTCTCAAGACCAACAGTAAAATGATCTGCTTTATAACCGAGGAAAACTATACCCTTTTATCTTGAAGGAATTCAACTTTAGAGTCCATGCTTAAAATAACATAGAACCATACAATAGTTTAGGTTGGAAAAGCCTTTCCAGCCATGGCTGAAAAGCCATGCTAGAGCTCGTGGACACTCCACACTCACGAGAAATCCTGTACTTACCTCTCCTGCATAGCGGTTGCGCAAGTTAAGAGAAGCCATGAAGTTGGAGTAGTCCTTCTTTACACAAGTTGGTCTTTCAGTTAGCTGGGTTGCCTATGACCAGACCACATACAGATGTTTATACTGTTCATATCCAACCACTTGTCTTTTTTTCTATTTATACTTTCACATATGTTTTAAGTTTAGTTTTCTTTATGGTAATAAACAGAATAGTATCAGGACTATTAGGTATACTACTACCTGGACTGATAAAAATGAAATAAGGAACATGTGCATTAATTCCATGTATACAGTTTGAAATATATATGTATTTGTATATGCTTTTTGAAGGACCAAAAAAGCAGAAAAAGGGTAGAATCTCTTGGACTACTGCTCCCTTTTCATGAACAGTTAAGTGTCCTGGTTTTGACTGGGACAGAGTTAATTTTCTTCCTAGTAGCTGGTATAGTGCTGTGTTCTGGTTTTAGTAGGAGAAGAATGTAGATAACACACTAATGTTTTAGTTGTTGCTAAGTACTGCTT